GTGGCTGGCTAATCATCAAGACCCTTGACTGAAAGAGGTGGTAGTGCATTAGTCCCACACGATTGTGGAACAGGCTGCATAAGCTCAATTACCACCATTGCTGAATAATTGATTCCCATCATTACTAGCCCCCACTTTGTTTCATGATATTTCTTCTTTCTCCCTCCTCCTATTCCAGTCCTTATAAAAGTTTAAGATTAACTGAAGTTTCTCCTTGGAGGGTGGCAAAACATATTGATAACCCTCAAGGATTGCCAGTAATAGGATTAACTCATCTGCGACGTGACAACCGTGATTATCGCGAAGAGAAACTATAATCCTGTCTGTATAAAACCTTCGGCCAGTCTCCAATTCGAGGAGACAGGTTTTTGGAGGAGCTCATTCCCCTCTGTCTCCTATATATAGATATACAATAAAACCCTCTTGCTGCTCACCTCGCCCCGTCTCAGTATTGGCTTTTGCAGCAGGTGGCTCAGGTCCGCGTTTTGTGGAAACAACTGTATTACAGAAAACATTCCACAACTGGTAAACATAGGTCTGATTTGGGCCACCATTACAGAGTGTTGCTCTTCTCCACCCAATTCTCCAGCCTTGAGTTAGTTCCATAATCAAGAATCTTTTGATAATAGACTGTGTAATAAATACCACTCATACGTGCAATAAATCTTCTTCCTAGTCTTTACTACAGAATTTGTGACCATTTACTATGTACTGCAGATATATAGCCTTTAATCTTTTTAGCATGTACTTTGTTCTGGGTTAAGGTCCCTGGGTTGCACAGTGTGTGCTTGACTACTGTCTTAGTTATCTAGTGCTGCTATAACAGAAATACCACAAGTGGATGCCTTCAACAAAGATAAATTTATTCTCTCATAGCCTAGGAGGCTAGAAGTCAGAATTCAGGATGCCAGCTCCAGGAGAAGGCTTTTTCTCTCTGTTGGTTCTGGGGGAAGGTACTTGTCATCAGTCTTTCCCTGGTCTAAGAGATTCTCCATGCAGGAACCGTGGGTCTGAAGGACACACTCTGCCCCTGGTGCTGCTTTGTTGGTGGTATGAGATCCCCATGTCTCTCTACTCACTTCTTTCTTTTATATCTCAAAACAGATTGGCTTAAGACACAACCTAATCTTGTAGATTGAGTCCTGTCTCATTAACATAACTGCCTCTAATTCTGCCTCATTAACAACATAGAGGTAGGATTTACACACATAGGATAATCACATCAGATGACAAAATGGTGGACAATTGCCCAATACCGGGAATCATGGACTAGCTAAGATGAAACACATTATTTTTAGGGGGCACAATTCAATTCATAACAACTACTAACCTAAAAGTTGGAGAGTTCAAACACACCCAATGATGCCACAGAACAAAAGCCTGGTGATCTGCTTCTGTAAAAGATTTCAGCCAAGAAAATTCTATGGAAAAGTTCTACTTTGTAACACATGAGGTCACCATGAGTTGGAACCAGCTTGATGGCACCGGGCTTGGTTTGGTTTTGGCTTTTGTTCAGAGTTTATTCAGAATGGCTGTCCTTTGAATTCCAAAGAGCTACTCCTCTTTCCAAAGAAGCCCTGGTAGCATAGTGGTTAAGTGCTTGGCTGCTGACCTAAAGGTCGGTGGTTCCAACCCGCCAGCTGCTCTGTGATAGAAAGACGTGGCAGTTTGCTTCCATAAAGATTACAGCCTTGGAAACCTCATGAGGCAGTTTTACTCTGTTCTATAGGGTTGCTATGAGTTGGAATCGATTCAACAGCAATGGGTTACTGCTCTTCCCACTACTCGTCTGTCAGTTTGTTGTACTATGGTGGCTTGTATGTTGCTATGGTGATGGAAGCTATGCCGCAGGTATTTCACCCAGGGTAGACAGGTTTCCGTAGAGATTCCAGAGTAAGACAAACTAGGAAGTAAGGACTGACGATCTAATTCTGAAAATTAGCCAATGAAAACCGTATGGGTTACAACAGAATATTGTTCAGTACAGTGCTGGAAGATGAGCCCCTAGGTTGGAAGTCACTCAAAATATACGGTAGCCACAACAATAAACTCGAGTATACCAAGGATTGTGAAGATAGTGCAGGACGGAGCAATATTTCCTTCTCTTGTACATGGGGTCGCCATTACTTGACTGCAGCTGACTACAACAACAACTGTTCTTTTATAACAATGATCAAGCAAACATCAAGACCAGGGTATTACATTCTAAGGGTAATGTGCTTTTAGGGATCATCATTCACATAAACATTTTCAGGTACCAAATGTGTTTTGGCTTTTTAACAGAAAGAGACTGCTTGCATTTCAGGTTCTGCTGATATAAACACATTCTAGAATCTGGCTACACCAATATTTCATGCTAGCTATTATCTGTACGTGAGTAGAATGCTAAGCAGCTGTAAATTTCCTTTACATATAGTAAACATAACCTGGAAAAGGGAAATAACCAGAGCTCTGTAGAGTGTTAAACATGGACTCTGAGCTACCTTAACTTCTGGAGACTAAGAATACCACTGTGGTCTATAGATCAGAATGACAAATTGTACTTCCGTTATTAAATAGAGTTTTGATCTGAATCTGGCCCTAGGTAGTCCAGTCTTGTGGTTATTTTTCTGAGTACCTAATTGGAATAGGTATCTTTAGCAATAGACAGAATCCTGCACTGAGTCTTTAAACCACGGGGTAGGGCTGTTATGATAGGAAAGGCTAAGCTCCTAGAGATGTCCCTACCTAATAAGGTACTGTAAGCCCCTGGGTGGCTCAAATGGTTAAGTTGGTTCGAACTCATCCAGAGGCATCTTGGAAGATAGGCCTGGCAATCTACTTCCAAAAGGTCCCAGCATTGAAAACCTTATGGAACAGTTCTACTCTGTACTCACGAGTCAGAATCGACTTGACAGCAACTAACAATAAGGTACTATAATCCAAAGCAATGTTGCATCCATATGTAGATCCTGCATACTAAAGATGTCATCAAAATCATAAAAAACATAGGGTTGATTATTCCTTTAATATCTCTATTTAGGCTTGTGCAGAAGATGTATAGGTTTAGGAGATGTGGCCATACTGAATTATATATTCTACCCCCGGGTTTTCATTTAACGAATATATGCGTACCAAACAGGAGTCATGCTAGGTGTTGGGGGCATAATGACGAGCAAATCTTGACATGGTTTTTGATTTTGTGGCATTGATATTTCAGTTGCAGAGACTGACATTCCTCAAGGTAATTCTATGAGCATTTGTTACAGAGGAACCCTGTGTTGTCCTGGTGTGTAGGGGAGGATGTTTGGAGGACAGAAAAGGAAACATGTCCTCCAGTAAGTGACACTTCTGATAAACTCTGAGGCAGTGGCAGGTAGGCAGAGTGCTTACCTGTAAGTACCTTTAGTACTTGGCAAAGGAGAAGGAGCAAAACCCCACGGACAAAGGAATCTGTGCAACGACTCTACAGCAGGAGTGATTAGTGTCCTTGAGGAATTGAACAAAGGAGAGTGTACCTGCAATGAGGACTCTGAGGGCTAAGTGGTGAGAGAGGAGGCTGAAGTCGGGGGCCTTGACTTGAAGGATTTGGCCTCTGTCTTAAGAGCAATGGGGAGTCAACTGTATGGTTTTAAGCAGGGAGATGTCATGATTAAATTAAGAGACTTCTCTGGCTACAGTGGGCATGAAGCGGAGGTGGCCAGAAATATTAGCGAGTTGTTATAGCAATCCAAATGAGATTTGTTATATAGATATAAAACCAAAAACAAAACCCGTTGCCATCGAGTCAATTCAGACTTACGGCAACCCTATAGGACAGAGTAGAACTTCCCCATAGGGTGTCCAAGGAGCAGCTGATGGATTTGAACTGCTGACCTTTTGGTTAGAGGACAAGCTCTTAACCACTGCACCACCAGGGTTCCTATATGGATATAGAAATAGGTAAATAGATCTATCTACCACCCATAGATAGATTTATTAGTTTGTCAGTTTGCCATATTTTGGTGGCTTGGATGTTGCAATGATGCTGGACGCTATGTCACCAGTATTTCAAATACCAGCAAGGTCATCCAGGGTGGACAGGTTCAATGGAGTTTCCATGGTAAGGGTAGGAAGAAAGGCCTGGTGATCTACTTTCAAAAAGTAGCCAATGAAAACCTTATGAATCACAAAAGAATATTGTCCTGTATAGTCCTGAAAGATGAGCTCCCTAAGTTGGAAGACACTCAAAATACACAGTGGCTGCAATAATCCAACATGGCACAAGATGTTCTGTTGTGCATCAGGTCACCACAAGTTTGAGAGGATTCAATGGTAACTAACAATAGACAGATTTATCAGATATCTAGAAGGTGATATTAGTAGGACTGGTAATGGATTAACGGTGATGGGTTGAATATTGGGGATGAAGCAATAGGAGATTTAAAGGTATACTGTTAGGTTTCTGACTTGTATAACATCCAGCTTGTATTCACAGAGAATAGAAACACTGAGTGAAAATCATTTGGGGCCAATGATCATGCATTTGTTCTCGAACATGTAGAGTTTGAGGGCCCTGACACATTCATGTCAAGATGTTGAGAGAGGTGTTGCATTAGACATAAGTATGAGGACCAGTTTGGTGATGAAATAATATGGGAGTCACTAGTTCATAGATGGTCAGTGAGGCCAAAGACATTGAGAAAATGTCACAGAGTGAGAAGAGCAGAGCCTGAAGCTGCACAAGAACTCCAACACGTGAAGTCCACCTGGGATGGAGTGAGTACAATGTGATGTATTCAGCATTCAGCATGGCCTGATCAAAAAGGAGATCAGCGTTTCAGGCCCTCTCATTTCTTACTAAAACCAAAAATAAAAAATAAAAAACCAAACCCGATGCTGTCGAGCGGATTCCAACTCCTGGTGACCCCATGAGACCGAGTAGAACTGCGCCATAGAGTTTCCAAAGAGCGCCTGGAGGATTTGAACCGCCAACCTTTTGGTTAACAGCCGTAGTACTTAACCATTACACTACCAGGATTTCCAACATGGAGTGCTTCACGATTTTGCATGTCATCCTCGTCTCAGGGGCCATGCTAATCTCTGTATCGTTCCAATTTTAGTGTATGTGCTGCCGAAGTGAGCATCGTTTCTTACTAGCTTACTCTTAAGACAGTGAAAACAAATAAACACCACACGGTCCAAGTCAGATTGTAATGTTTGGCTGCATTTATCTAGTCCGGATAATCTTGGGTGTTAAGTATTTGATCAGGTGATTTAAATAAAGTGTAAAATATCTCTTTTATGAAATGATTTTCTGATATTGTCTACTTCGCTCTTATCCCCATTTCTCTCTTTTGCCTTTTTTAATACTTAGCAAGCTCTGCTGTATACAGTTGGCCCTCCGTATCCTGGGTTCCGTGTCTGCAGATTCAACAACTGTGGAATGAAAAAAAGGGCTTGAAAAGACTGAGAAAGCATTAAGTGATAAGCGTTAAGCATTAACAATTATTTACACAGCATTTTCACTGCATTAGGCATTATAAGTAATCTACAGGTGATTTTAAGTATACAGGAGGATGTGAGTAGGTTACATGCAAAGACTATGCCATTTTATGTAAGGGACTTGAGAATGTGTGGAATTTGGGGGGGGGGTCTCCGAAACCAATCCCCCACGGATACTGAGGGATGACTGTATTTAAATTTCTGAGAATTTGTATACTCCTCAAATCTGGGAAAGTTGGCAGAAGTGTTTCATTCACCTTTGTGTTTTCAATGCTGGTGTGGTGCCCCCCATGACAGTAATAGTAAATGCTTCTTTCTCTTCTAAACACTTATTTTTTTCCGTAAAATGTATTCAATGCCTGATGTAAAAACAAAACAAACACCAAATGACAATAAGTAAATAAATAAAACATATTCATGCTGCTTTCGCCTGAAGATAAGCTGGCTATTTAATCTGGCTCAAAAGTAATCATCAGGTACATTAATAAGGTAACGGCGATCTTTGCGTATTTCACTTTCCTTAGTTTAAAACTGCATTTACAAAACGTGGCCACTGGGGGGAAGCATAGTGCAAAGCTAGCATTTAGTTGTCCTCCAGGGTAGATGCAATGTTTCAGGTCAATTGAAGGCTTTTTCTCTGCCAGTTAATGTCAGGAGCGCCTTTGTGGGTCTGTCTACTTTCCCTTTTTCAAATTCCTTTCCCTTCCTCTTATTCCTGGGTTCTCCGTGGGTTAAAACTTATGTTTTTAAAATTTACAGAAGCTTAATAATCATGAAAACCAAGTGGAGGTTGGCACAGTGCCGTTTTTTGCTCAACCTCGTGGGCATGCTAGGGTAATTGTAATTATTTACATTTGGCATCCAACTGACTGAACGGGCAACATTGCCTTTTTTTTTCGATGAGTACCCAGGCTATTAAATTAACAGGTTAACGTGGCTACAGCGTTTCGCCGCCTACTATCCCCACAGCTATAGTCAATCTGCCACCTGTTTATTTTCATAAAAATTCAATTACGGCACCACCAGTTATTCTTCTTATGAAAGCAATTAACTTCGGGCAGTTTCAGGCTGCAAAGAAATGGCAGGCGGACCTGTTCCTTTCTTCCTTTTTGCTCCCTTTAGCCGCTAGCAGCTTCTTTGGCTAAGTGACTGAGCACCTTCACACCAGTGAAAAACGAAAGGATACCCTAGACCGCTGTGCACTGTCATGTCGGTGAAAAAGCAAAAACTGAAGAATCACAAACAATCCTTTTGCCTCCCTGTGTCCAAGCAGCAGGGAAGCCTGAGAAGCCGAGGGATGCGAGCAGCAAACCCAGCAGCCAGGGCCACAGAGCCGCTCCCGTGTTATTGAAACGCACACCAAAATGAAAAAGGAATTGCTTTAAAAATGGTGCATTTTTCTTCTTCTTTATCTTTGCAAACAATATGCCTGTGTAGATAAAGGTTGGTAAAATGCTACAGCATCCTAGCTAAAGCAACAACACAATTATGATGAGATAAAACCACATTCATCTTTGCTTCAACAATATTGATACAACCAACGGCATTGCAAAGCAGTTGCATTTCTTTTCCCCTTTAAGAGAAACGAGTCTTTAGTAGCAGGTTGAAAAAGCTGACTTGCACATTTTTTTTTTTTTTTAATGTCGGATTCTCTTTGTCATATTTCTTTCCTTTTTTCAAAAGCCCATCAATAAAAATAGAAATTACTGCATCTTACATCTAGTGATTTCCTATGTGATCTAATTGTTGAACCCAGATTGAGGTTCTTGCTTGCCATTAACCCTCTAATGCCATTGACACTGATTTTATTTGAAAAAATAATATTTACTGTAAATGTGTAAACATAGATTTAAGAGCAGGTTAGACTCTGAAATGATCAACTAAATCATACCCAGGTTTCAGGATAAGACAGATGCTTCACCATAAGTAGGTTTGTTACCAGTTACGATCAAGGTGGGGTCCCCGGGTGATGCAAAAGGCTAACCATACTCTGCTGCTAACAAAGAAATTGGTAGTCCCTGTCTTGGAAGAAAGGCCTGGTAACCTACTTCTGGAAAATCAGCTATTGAAAACCCCATGGAGCACAGCTCTACTCTGACACACATGGGGTCTTCATGAGTAGGAATCAATTTGACAGCAATCGGTTTTTATCAAGGTGTAATTGTTAGCAATAAACTCAGGGAATCTAACTTCAAAAGAGAAATAACTAAGGTACAAATAGATGATAAAATCCCAACTGAGCCTAAGCCCCTAGTTAGGGCAGGTGGATGGAGGGTTCAGGTTAATCTTCCAAATTGTTACATGTCCCAGTTGATCCCTGAGCAACATTTGCTCAGGCAGGCATGGATGTCAGATGGTCAACATTCTCAACATACTCCCAGGGGATCGAATGAGTATATAAATATGTCCTTCCTTCCTTCCTACATTTGAAAGTTCCTTGTGCCCAGCAGCATTAGTATGCTGCTGAGTGGAAAAATGTAATAAAGTGGACTTTGAAGGCAGCATGTCGCAGGAAAAAGATACGGTCTAATTAAATTTAATCTTCTTTTAAATGGTCACTCAAAAGAGAACTCTGTTAAAAGTTCAAAGGGGCATATATGAATCCTCCCCAGGCAAGTCTATACCTACGGATAACATCTGGCAGTTGGAAGAGTGAAGGGGAATTTAGAATCTGTGTTTCATCTTGATAGGGCTGATGGGACTTTAATGAAGAAAGACCAATATCCTGTGGCTGTGAGACCACATCCTCTGCTGTAAAAGGAGTTCAAGTTCACTGTCTTGAAAATTGTCCTTTTCCTATCTTCAAATATTTTTGTGGGTCCTTTTCTTTTTAGTTCAAAGTGGACATTAAAAAGGGTTTTAAGTGTTTATTCTTCATCCTAGATTTTGGGCAGATGCCTAATTTCCTTTGCTTCCTTACCTCCTGAAGAGTTTCAGTTTTTTTACCTCTTCCATAATGAAGCAAACATACAACTCAGTACTTTGTAGTCTGAGTTAAAGCAAAACTAAATGGACCATGTTTATCTGATCAATTAAGGCATTGCCTACATCCTTAGAACTGATGTTTCTCATTTAAGCAGCATTCCATACAATCCTCAGGAAATTAACAACAGAGATTGAGTTTGGGGAATGGGGTCATTATACAAAGAAATGTAGGAAGAGTGTAAAAGAATTTGACTGGGCTCCAATATAAGCTACATTAACTGACTAGGCTCCAATAGAAACTGAAGAATGTCTTTGTAGAAGTGGAAGTGCAGAAAAACATCAATAAAAGTTCCCAAAATAGAAGTTTGAATTAAAACCCTATTATGTAAAGTTATCTACTAGATTTAATAGTCTTTGGAGTAACTAATGTTTGTAATTTTTTTTTTTAAATCCTTTTTTTCTCTCAGAGATTGTTGCTGTTGTTGCTAGGTGCCATCAAGTCAATTACAACTCACATCGACCCTACATGTAACAGAACAAAACACTGCCCAGTCCTGTGCCAGCTTCACAATCGTTGCTATGTTTGAGCCCATTGTTGCAGCCACTGTCAATTCATCTCGTTGAAGGTCTTCCTCTTTTTCTCTGACCCTCTAATTTATCAAGAATGATGTCCTTCTCCAGGGGCTGGTCCCTCCTGGTAACATGTTCAAAGTACATGAGACGAAGTCTTGCCATCCTCACATCTAAGGAGCATTCTGGCTGTACTTCTTCCAAAACAGATTTGTTGATTTCTTCTGGCGGTCCATGGTCAATTCAATATTCTTCACTAACACCATAATTCAAATGAATCAATTCTTCTTTGGGCTTCCTTATTCATTCTCCAGTTTTCACATGCACATGAAGTGGTTGAAAATACCATGGCTTGGGTCTGGTGCACTTTAATCCTCAAGGTGACATCTTTGCTTTTAAACACTTTAAATTAAAGAGATCTTTTGCAGGAGGTTTGCCCAGTGCAATACATTGTTTGATTTCTTGACTGCTGCTTCCATGGGCATTGATTGTGGTTCCAAGTAAAATGAAGTCCTTGATAACTTCAATATATTCTCCGCTTAGCATGATGTTGCTTATTGGTTCAGTTGTGAGGATTTTTGTTTTCTTTATGCTGACGTATAATCCATACTGTAGTGCTTCAAGTCCTCTTTGCTTTCAGCAACCAATGACCAAAGACCAGACTAGTTGCAGGATAATATCAAGGGTATCATACATGAAGAAAGTAAATAGTCATTAAAAAGACAAGAAAGAAAGAAAAGACCAAAATGAATGTAAGAAGAGATTCTGAAACTAGCTCTTGAACATAGAGTAGCTAAAGCAGATGGAAGAAATGATGAAGTAAAAGAGATGAACAGAAGATTTCAAAAGGTAACTCAGTAATAAAAAGTAAAGTATTATAATGAAATGTGCAGAGACCTGGAGTTAGGAAACCAAGAAAGAAGAACACGCTTGGCATTTCTCAGGCTGGAAGAACTGAAGAAAAAATTCGAGACTCAAGTTGCAATATTGAAATATTCTATGGGCAAAATAGTGAACTATGCAGGAAGCCTCAAAAGAAGATGCAAGGAATACACAGTCACTGTACAAAAAGAATTGGTCAATGTTCAACCATTTCAGAAGGTAGCATATGATCAGTAACCTATGGTATTGAAGGAAAAAGTCCAAG